TTTAAACAATGTAGATTTAGCCTGTGCGTTCACCCTTGGGTGAGCGTGGCATAGCACCCTGTTTCCTTTGTTTTATATATTTCTTCTTTCAGTCTTCCGTTGTGTTTGATGTTTTGGTTTAAGATATCTGCATGTTTTAAGGCTTTAAATAGCATGGTTTTAGGGGGGTGTTACATCTAACATCCCCATAAACAGTTTGTGAGCTTCGTCAAAATCCTGCATTCCCCTAACATCCCTACGACCCCTCAACCCATCCATCTTAGCACGCCACCTCTCAACCTCCCTTCGAAAATCTCTCCATCAACTCCCTCCCCAAGTCCTTAGCCGAACTCCACAACCCTCTATTTTACCCTCAATATTGATCCGACGCCCCCACCCACATAGACTCAATAACCTCCCGACACCTTTCCTCCTTAATCCAGGTTTGGTCAAAACAGAACAACCGCCTATGCCCCCTCTGCTGTATTTGATTCGGAACTAGCTAGCAAGAAAGGTAGGTGATCACTGCCACCACACCGGATAGAAGTGGTCGTCACCCCCTAAACAAACTACCCCATCCATTCGTAACCAGAATTCGATCCAACTTCTCTTGCACCCAATTATCTGACCCCCTCTCCCCCCCTCCCACGTATACTGGTAACCTCCAAACGAAAAATCCACCAACCCACAATCAGTCACCGTTTCCTTAAACCCTCTAAACAAGAACCTCGGATGAGCCACCCTACCCATATTATCCCCAGGATCAAGCAAATCATTAAAGTCACCCATGACTACCCAAGGTAAGGGATTAAGAGTAGATATGTATCTCAGACGATCTCAAGACTCATGCTTGCGAGCTCGTTGATTTGGGATATTAGACTTGGCTTGTCGAGATCGATGTCATTTGAGACATTCTCACTTAGAGTAGTTCATTGTACCTGCTAGGTTCCTGCATCTAGTGAAAAATTCAAGGTGGGTCACTAGGTCAGTAAGCAATGCAACCAAAGGTGATCGTGTTCATTGCACACTATACAAAACTTGAACACTAAAGGTTCATTTGGAAACTTGAAAAATGACTTTCAGATGTTACTTTTTGGATTTCTAATTTTAGGTACTTAAAAGGAAAAATGAAGTCAAAAGAAAATATTCATTCTGATAAAAAAAAAAAAAAACTCAATTTGGCGAAAAATGTCTTCGTAGTTTTTTGTCGGAAGACATTTTTCAAATTCTTTATTTTCCATTTCTCTCTTCACTCACTTCTTTTTTAAGATAGTTTCCAAATTATTATTGTTACCACAACTACCACGACCACAAAACCACTACCAACACCATTGTCATACCACAACACAACCACACCATCACCATCACCACCACTGCCACCAACACCACTAGGGATGGCAACGGGGCGGGGCGGGGCCGGGGAATGGGGTCCCCGTCCCCGTCCCCGAAATGGCTACCCATTCCCCAACCCCGCCCCGTTCCCCGGCGGGGATTTTTCGGGGACGGGGAATCCCCGCCCCGTTTTTTTGAATTATAGGGCAAGCATTATTTATGTATGATTCTTGCAACCTATCTATTCCCCAATATGTTGCTTCTGATTGTACATTACAGTATTACACCATAACATGCATGCATTTCACCACTAAGGAAAACCTTCATACATTCATTCATTCATGCTACCAATATAAAGCCATTATATGTTAATATAACACTACACTACAGTACACTAATTCTTGTGTTTAGACTTCAGAGTTCAGACATATCTTTATTTGCAGTACGTAATTATTGCTATTATATAAATTGATTGAGTTAATCAAAATACTTCAAAAATATAATTCCTAATAAAAACAAATTACTAAATACTTCAAAAATAATTAAACCTAATTACTAATTACTAAATAATAATAATATTATACGGGGAATCGGGGGCGGGGACGGGGACGGGGATCGCGGTCGGGGTCGGGGTCGGGGCGGGGAATGCCCTCCCCATCCCCGTCCCCGTCCCCGGCGGGGATGGGGAAATTCTCCCCATCCCCGCCCCCGTTCCTCGAAAAAATTCCCCGAACTCACCCCCGTCGGGGCGGGAATCGATTTTCCCAGTCGAGGGCGGGTTGAATTGTCATCCCTAAACACCACTACCACCACCAACCCTAACACCAACACCAACACCACTACCACACCTTCACCACCACCACCACTACCCTCTACCACACCACTATCGCCACCACTAACACACTACACTACCACTGCCACAAACGCTACCATCACCACCACCGCCACCAACACTATTATCACTACCACCAACATTAACACTAACACCAACACCACCACCAACACACCACCCCTACACATCACTACTGCTACCAACACCAACACCACAGCACTGCTACTGCCACCATAACCACCACCATCAACACATATTATTATTATTATTATTATTATTATTATTATTATTAATATTATTATTATTGTTATTATTGTTATTATTGTTATTATTGTTATTATTATTGTTATTATTATTATTATTATTATTATTATTATTATTATTATTATTATTATTATTATGGACCAAGCAGAAAAAATACAATTTCTTAACTTTGAGCCAAACAAAAAAAAAAAATCTAACATTCAGCCAAACACAAGAAAATTAAAATATTTTTTTAAAAATGAGTTATTTTCTTGAAATCATTTTCAGGAAAATATTTTTCAAGTTTCTAAATGAACCCTAAATGCAATATTTTGATCTATACAATTTTCTTTACAATAATCATGGGCAAAATCTCCTTCATCCGGGAGACGAGTCGTGTTTTTCTTAAGTACTATACTATATCTAGGCATGACCACGGTTCGGTTCGAACCGAACCGTGCACTATTGAACCAAAACTGGAACCGAACCGTCTGTGCGGTTCCGGTTCTTAACCGAAACCAATATGGTTCCGGTTAAGGTTCGAGATGAAAAGGAACCGGAACCAGTTCCAAACCGAAAAAAATTAAAAATTATAGCTTATTTTATTTTTATTTTTTTTTAAATAAATCCGGTTAGAACCGGCGGTTCCAACCGGAACCTTACTATAAGGTTCCGGTTTCGGTTTCGATTTGTCCATTTACAGAACTGGAACCGGAACCGCGGTCAACCCTAACTATATCTCAGAAAAAATACTATATCTCAAGATTAAGTATTACAATTTTCCTCATACATAACAGTTCAAACCCAATAACACACATTGATTTAATAGTATTACATTGTTCATCAAAAGTATCACATTTTCCCCATAAATATTGCACTTTCTTTAATAAGTAACAATCAATCAATTTCCCTTAAAAAACAATCAATTAATTTATCTCTTATTTTTTCTCTTCCCCTAGATTTTTATTCTTCCTAACCTAATATTCTCTCTGCAAGGTTTTTCCTTCATCCTCCATTGATCGGTTGCCGCCTCCGCTCGTTTTTGGAGGCGACGCCGATCTCCTCTCGTTTCTTCCCCTACTCCGACCGTCTCTTAATTACCTGTCCTTCGGTCTCTTCTCCGTTGCCGGCACCTCTTCCCGCCTCTCTTCCACCGCCACCATCTCCTTCGGCCCCTCACCGACGTTTCTTCCTCCTTCACCACCGTCCCTCGCCATCTCCAACTCCAGATCCAAGCTTCTTTACCTTTTTTCAGCGGTTCAATAAATAATATATATATATATATATATATATATATATATATATATATATATATATATATATATATATATATATATATATACACACACACACACACACACATATTAGTTAGTGGTTTGGTGTTTAGGATTTGTTTTGGCTGTTTTAGATTTGATTTTCATATGTTGTTTTGTTAAAGTTATTTCCTCTCGTTTCATTTGTGAGTTATTTCCTCTCGTGTCTTTAGCGAGTTTTCCTCTCATTTATTTGGCGAGTTCATTTTTCATAAGGTGAAACAATTTATCTGATAATGGAGTATGTTTGCTTCATCCCGAGCACCGAAGAAGATCTGAACCTTGATATGCAATTCAGATTAATGGAGATATTGTCTATGGATAGAAGAGCCGCAATAGAGTCAGACTTAAGTAGCAAAATCATTAACAATATCAAAGAAGCTTCTGGTTCTCCAAACGAATTCAGCTTCAATCTTGAAAAACAGTCAGCGATTCAAGTTTCGTGTAGCATTGGAAATTTTTTTCAATGTCTGATTGTAAGAATGTTTTATTATTCCATCGATCTTTTTGTAAACTTTTCATCGTATGATTAATGAATTAACTCTTTTATTTCAAAAAAAATAATAATAATTTATCTCTTATTAGTATTAAATTTTTAAATTGATTTTTTTTCTCATAACTAGTTATTCAAAGTATTACATTTTTTCTCAAAACTAATATATACATTTTCTTTATAAGTAATAAATAATTAATTTGTTTTTATTAGTATTACATTTTATCTCATAAGTATTACATTTTCATATTGACTGACCCGTTTCACAAAGAATGATCCCTAAGATGTTCGCACAGGAGACTCACTCATAATCATTTATTTTACTCACCTATTTCTATTAATTAATTCTGGTATTAACCCATATTAATACTCCCAATAATTATAATTAAGTAAGAGTTAATTCTATTTTTTGTCCTAAATTTATAGGTGATAGTTCACTTTTAGTCTTTTTTTTTATCAGAACATTTCATTTTTGTTCTAGTATATATTATTGTGATATGATCAAAAAGAGATGTTTCGATAAAAAGGTACTAAAAGTGAACTGCTACCTATAAATGTAAGACAAAAAATAAAATTAACTCATTAATTAATTATATATGTATATATTATTCAGCCCAAGAAATTAAAATCGACTGTCAAACTTGATTTTTAATTTCTTAGTTGATTAATCAAAGCCGTCGCTGGAACACATGTTCAGGACACTACAGTAACGATGCATCTAGAAAACAACTACATACAGCCCCTTCATGTCTGACCCAAACTTCCTCTGCTAATCGCATTATAAATTCGATCGTCCTTAAAGAACATTAATATATATTCTCAACTACATACGACCCTTGAAATGGCTAGTTTGTATTCCTATGTCGTCATTATTGCCTTGGCTTTGCTTGGCAGCTTAGCTACTCCTCCATTGAACATCATTTCCTTAGCCCATCATAATTATCATGTAGCTCTCTTTGTGTTTGGAGACTCAATCTTCGATCCTGGCAACAATAACTACATCAACACTACCACTTATAGCCAGGCTAATTTTCCGCCCTATGGGGAATCATTTTTCAAGTACCCAACAGGCAGGTTTTCTGATGGTCGTCTCATCCCAGATTTTATTGGTAAGCTTACAATGCTCCTGTTTGGTAACATAATTTATCAGTCAATTTTGATTTATTTGGTCACTATTAGCCGTTTGACTTGGTTAATTAGTTTGATTGTAAGAGTCTATTGCTCTAAAATGTTAAAATACAAAAAAGTTGTTCAAAGCTGCTTTTTCGATCAGCTTTTAAAGAAAGTTATTTTACATGTAATCAGCTATCAGTTACCAGTTAATTTACCAAACATTTTTCTACATTCAGCTAATGTTACAACAGTCAAACTCATTAACCCAATTAGCTAACAACTATTTAGCAGGCACGATCAATGTCTGTGTACTTTAATTTAACGTAACTCACTGATTGATGTCGCCCTTAATTACGTGTTATGTTTGGTTGCACAGCCGAGTTTGCAGAATTACCTTTAATTCCGGCGTATTTCCAGACCGAGCAACTTGGGCTTATTAATGGAGTCAACTTTGCATCAGCTGGCGCTGGCAGTCTTGTTGAAACCTTTTCTGGTTTTGTGCGTCGTCGATATTTATGATGTCCAATAATTTATTTTTGAGTTAATTTTATTTTTTGTCAGTGATTTATAGTGACATTCCACTTTTAATCATTTTTTCAAAACCATCTCTTATGAGCAATGTTGCAAAAATCCCGCCTAGACACCGATTAATCGGCACCTAGGCGTTAGGTGCTGGCCGGCCGCCTAGCGTATCACCATAATCGGTGGTCTAAGTGGTTGGCTGGCTAGGCGGCCGCCTAGGCCTCCTAGGCGCCGACTAGGCTTCCTAGGCATCGACTAGGCCGCCTAGGCACCGATTAGGTCGCCTAGTCGGCCAATTAACTATTGTTTCATTCTTTTTTAAATGAGTTATTTCACTCAAAACCATATCGTTTTGAGCAAAATAATCATAAATTGTTCAAACTCTAGATGTTTTTTAGGTTAATATTTATTATTTTAGTATTAACTATTAAAGTATTAAATAATTTATAATTATCAAGTATTAAAAAATTTAAAAATTTTAAACAAATTTTTAAAAATAAAAAACAAAATAAAAAACACACAGGCGCCTAGGCGCCGATTAATCCCTGCCTGCGCCCAATGGGTGCATAACGATTTTTTCAACCATGCTTATGCGACAACTTTTTATGTTGACCATGATCCACACAACACTGTGTGAACCATAAAAATACATTTTTAATATATTAAAATTCATTATTTGTGTATTGAATGTACATTATACTAAATAATATATTTTCAATACTCAAATAATGTATTTTTTCCTAAATACAATGTACATTTTTAATATGCTAAAGTACAATGTAAATGTGCATTATTTGATAGTATATAAAATATTATACTCTTAGTACTCAAATAATGTATTTTATATACACAATTAATGTACTTTTTATTTGTGGCCCACAGACCCACACAACTGGTCTTGTATGGACCATGGTCCATGCAATAACGACTCCTCATTTGGTCTTAATATTATTGTGGCATGATTATTTTTGATCTTCTGTCAACAAAATTGTTGAAATGTCGTTAAATATCATGACATTTCGATCTTTTAAAAAAAAAAAGTGGGTTGACCACCTGTTATATCTTTATTTTTATTTTCTTGAAAAAAAATCATAATTGAAGACCTAAATGTCTTTGTATTTTATGAAATTTCAACAATTTTGTTGACAAAAGACAAAAGATGGTCATGCCAAAATAATACTGCAATTGGAGATGATGTTCTAAAAAAAAAAAAAAAAAGAATACAAATGAATTGCTACCTATAAATCTAGGACCAAATGTTTTTATATGTACATGAATTGAACTCTTGAAAATTTTTTAATTTGATTTTTGCATGCATGGCAGGTGATTAATCTTAAAACACAAGTGGAATATTTCAAGAATGTTGCAAAAGAATTGAAGGGGAAGTTGGGTGATAATGAATCAAACAAACTGCTGTCCAGTGCTGTGTACATGCTTAGCATTGGCAGCAATGACTACTTCAACCCCTTTACCAAAGATTCCACCATCTTTCATTCATATACTCATCACCAATATGTTGACATGGTCATTCGTAATTTAACTAATGTCATCAAGGTATCCTCGTAAATTAAATGTACTTTTTTTTTTTTAATGCTACTGATCTAACTCTATTACAATGTAGTATCTGTTCATAACTACTTTCTCAACCTACTAAAGCATAAAGAGTCAATGTTGCCTCCACTGAGGCTTGAACCCACAACCTGTGCAACCTTGGTTCCATTAGACCACAAAGTTAATACTCAATTTAATTATGGACTATATTGATTTTTCTCGATTTGGTCAGAAACGTCTTTTTGTGTGCTTGATTGAGTCATCGATTTTGATGGTTTTACCTGATTGAGTCATTTATAACTATAATGTGATAATTTCCGCTCTATTAATACCTATTTTAGTCTTTTGCTATAGCGGTTTTATATTATCAAATTAGTCATTGACTATAGTGGTTAATATCCAATTTAGTCATTGATTAAAGTGATTTTTCTTGATTTAGTCCTTGATTCTAATCAACGAGGACTCAATTAGATAAAATCATCAAAGTCGAGGATTCAATTAAACACCAAAAGGCATTTAAAACTAAATTTAAAAAATTAAAAAAAAAATCTATAGTCAATAACTAAATTGGTATCAACTCCTTTTACAAGCATATATATGACCAGCCAGCATTATATATATCGTATTTATCTTAATCTATTTTGACAGGAAATATACAAGGAAGGAGGGAGAAAATTTGTCATTTTTTCTGTGATACCTTTAGGGTGCACACCATCTACTAGGGCTCTCAACATTCAACAAAAAAACACCAGTGGATGCTTCAAGGAACTCCAAGACTTGGCAAAGATTCACAATAAGGCCTTGCTAAAACACCTCACCATACTAGACAACACATTACATGGATTTAAGTATTCTTATTTCGATTTCTTCACAGCCATCACTAACATTATTCATCATCCATCTAGATATGGTATGTTACTGTATTTTTAATCTTTTCCCCAGCTCCCAATTTGCAGCATGTTGTAAAAATCGGCATAGACGCTCCTAGCTAGGCCGAGGCGATTTCAGCCCTAGACGACTTTTAGTCAACTGGCCGACTTAGCTGAGTTGAGCGCCTAACTCGGCCAAGTCGAGCACCTAACTCGACTCAGTCGATGCCCAACTTGGCCGAGTTGACGTTCAACTCAGCCGAGTGATTTTATTTGCCTACTCGGATTACTCCTCTTCTATATTTCTCCAACCATGTACTCAACTAACCCTCTAACATATGCAATTGACTAGTTTGGGGGATTATAACAATCTAACAACTCTGTCCAACAATCTCTAACCCTGAGTGGGAAAATAGAGACGACATACTCGGATTAATCAGCCGCCTAGGCGTTCTAGGCGCTAGGCGCCCCCTGGGCGCCCGACTAGCGCCTAGCGCCCTTCTACAACATTAACAAATACTTACATGCATAAGATTTATGTTGTTGCATGTTTTAAGGTTTCAAAGAAGCAAAGACGGCATGTTGCGGAAGTGGTCCTTATAGAGGAATACCAAGCTGTGGTGGGAAAAGGGAGCCATTGAAAGAATATGAGTTATGCAAAGATGTTAAAGATTATTTGTTTTTTGATCATGCTCACCTCACTGAGAAGTCCAGCCACCACTTTGCTACATTACTTTGGAATGGAGACCCCAATCTCACTCGGTCTTACACTGTGAAGTCCTTGTTTCAACAAGTCTAGCTTATACAGAATAACTTCATTTGTATGCAGAAATTAAAATAAAATTTGCTTTTTATTCCACTCATCAGAACAAGAATTAAATACACCACTTTGATGACTAATTTCCAACTCCATATTGATTAGGATTCAAAATTACACCTACCTTAATTCAAAGCCTAAAGCTGCAATTTCCCCAAATAAAATTTATCAATCTCAAATCCTCATCCCTTAAAGAAAATGATTAATCTACTATTGGGTATAACTCAATGAACAGCCAGTAGGCAGTAGCCACAATCAAGATTTACCTATCCCATCTACACTTTAAACAGACCAAAGAAAATGTTGTTCATTTTGCTCCTCCAATGCCCAAATCCATCGTTTTTCTTCGTAAAGAATCGTTAGTAGCATTCATCTCATATGAGATTCAGCTCAAAAAAGCAGTAAGCTGCAGCATTCTTGCCTAATTAGCATGGCCATATATTATTACCTGCAAATAACGCTTGTTGGCCATCATGAGTGCATGATCTCCGCCTACAATTTGGCCTCAACCAAGATCGGAGCCCCTTCAGTAGAATATGGCCACAATGGTGAAAGTGCAACAACCTTCCCGATGATGATCAAAGTTGGTGATACCAATTGATGTGAAGCAATTTCATCGGCTAGATTGTTCAATTCAGCAAATACCTGAATGAATTTAAAGGAAAAATGCAATAAGCCATACGCTCCAAAAAGGAAGTGTAAAACTATGCTTCAGACAGGGTCCAAATGCCATCGGGTGTAACCGAATTAAGAAAGGACATTAAACCAATCACAAATGTGGATAATAATTAAATTAGTACATAGTTTTAGTAAGAGTTAATACCTCCAATGGTCCTCCGAGTTTTAAATGACCTACAATGGTCCTCCATGTTTTAAAAAATAATCACCCGTTGTCCTCGAGTTTAAAATGACCACGAGACGTCCTAAAAGGACCACCGGGTGGTTATTTTTTAAAACATGGAGGACCATTGGATGTCATTTAAAACTCGGAGGACCACATCTGGTAAACCCCTAATACTCGGAGGACCATTGGAGGTATTAACTCGTTTTAGTAATCTAAAACATTGAAAGAAAACAAAGATGAAACCAAATGTATAAATTTATCACTTACTGAGCGTTGTTGTGGCGTGGTCCCTCGTTCAACAGCAGCAGCCGGTGTATCCGGAGGTAGGCCATGATACATCAACTTTGAGGCAAGAGAAGGAAGAGTTGACAATCCCATATAAACAATCAAGGTAGAGTCAGGGTCAGCAGCGTTCTCTGCTACAAATAGAGGATCTGATCCTCCTTTTCTAGAGTGGCCAGTAAGAAATCTAACACTATTGGAAATGCCACGGTGTGTCAATGGGATTCCGAGCTCTGCAGCTATTCCAGAAGCTGCCGTAATACCTGAAATCAATTACCACACATCCATGTTAGTTAGAACGAACTATAACCCCTTATAGCCTACAACCTAATTTCATTTATACAAAGGATTTAGACACCCTGAGACTAGGTTAGGTCCATAACTCCTGTTGAGCCATTAATGTTGTGCAATCCAACTATCAGCTTAAGCTTTTAGTTGAGATGGAGCACATGTTTCAATTTGGTATCAAAGTCAGACCAAAGATCATGAGTCGAATCTCAGCGCCACCCATAAGCGACTACGGTCCACGTGTTGCTTGGAACCCACCGCACACGTGAGGGGGCGTGTTGAGCCATTAATGTTGTGCAATCCAACTATCAGCTTAGGCTTTTAGTTGAGATGAAGCACATGTTTCAATTACTCCTACCATCACTAGAGCAATACAAAAGCAAAAATAAATAGAGAAGAAGTCTCGAGTAGGAAATCTGAACTCAAAACATAGCATATACGTAAAAATTCAATAGTATTTTGAACTATTGTACATAAATTCAAGGTTTTCTTCGGAACGTAGCATACAACCAACAGAATAACAACACAATCATCTAGAACATGTATTAACTAATGCAGAAATCTTGCTAGTTCTAGTGCTTGCTTATTGTTTCATCGAACTACAAAGTAATGAGCTTTGGAATAGGCAGGTATTATGCGCAATACAAAGTCAAGGATAAAAATCACTCATTTTACAATGGTAAAGAGGAAGAGTGTTCCTTATAAGTATCATACCAGGAATGACTTTCACTTCAATTCCTTGTTGTTGTAGAAAGTCCATCTCTTCTCCACCCCGTCCAAACACCTATAATCCAAAATGTAACCGATGTTATGAACTACTGAAAACACTAAAAGTTCTTATGAATAAAAACTATTCAATACTTCAAAGGCAAATGAAAGCACTCACCAATGGATCACCTCCTTTCAGACGCACAACATTGGCCCCAACTTCAGCGAAACTCAAAAGCAACTCGTGAATTTCTTCCTGCAAAATGTCAAATGTGAATACTTTGGGTCATCAATAATCAATCTTACTATTGTATATTCTCACAGAAGACAGAGGCCTCCAACCAATATAGAATCATAAAAGCTCTTAGACAAACTCTTTCTGTTTAGCAGATGCAATGGTTACTACAATTTCCACCAATAATTTTTCTCTAGTCTTATTATCAATTACAAAATCCACTAAAACCCATTTTGACATAAGATAAACAGGCAAATCATAGGTTCACAATTACCAATAGTCCACACTTTAACAGAAAATCTACACATGCATTCAACAAGAAATCCCAATTCATAAGATTATAAAATTCATCAGATATCCATTTCAAACTCAAGGCTTCTAAGAGCTAAATCAAAACATGCAAAGAGGATCCAAAGAAACTGAAACTTTTGTAGAAACTAACCTGTGTTCTGCTATGGTACCCAGCAGTTTTGCCAACATAGAGAAGCCTAGCATCAGGACCCACTAAACTGAGCACATCATTAGAAACCAATCTATCATACAACAGCAAATCAGCATTCTGAATCACTTTCAATGCCTTGAGAGTCAACAATTCTGGGTCCCCTGGCCCCGTCCCCACCAAAAACACATTCCCGGGCCCTCTCTTCTCACCGCTACCATTTTCCCCTCTCTTCTCCCTCAAGACCAGAAGCAATTTCTTGAGCTCAGGGAGCTGCTGAGCAATGTCATAGTCCCTGACAAAGGTAGGGTCAGGGTCAGCTGGGAGCGGGCAAGAAGAGGGCTGCTCCAATTTGTTCTTGTAAATCCAGTTGTCCCTCTGGTACCTCTCGGCTGAATGCTTCTCAGTGAACGGGGAATTGGAACAGGATGCATAGTGTATTGAGCAAACTGGGTTTAGGGAAAAAGATTCGATTTTTCTCAATCTGGCATTAGCAGAAGAAGAAATACAAGGGAGTTTGCTCAAAAGAGACATCTTTTTCCCAAGAAATGAAGGATAATAAAAGAATCTCCTTTGTTGATAGGGGTGAGCAAACGGTCGGTCACCGATTAAAATTGCTATAACCGGCCAAAACCGGTTACCAAAAACCCGAAAGATTAACAAATTATTCCACAATTAATAGAGAATTACACTTGAAAAAGTTAAAAAATAAAAAATAAACCAAGTCTAAAGTCTAAACTAACAATTAACAAACACACTACACACTGCCAAATTGCCAATTGCCAAAGTGCCAAAATCACACTGAAAAGCTGGAACTCTGGAAGCACACTGCCAAGTGCCAAATTACCAATTTCAAACCCAGAGCTTCAAACCTATCAAATGAGATATTATAAAACCTATCAAATTAAACATACAATGAACAAACACACTGTTCAAATATTTCACACTGAACAAAAATTTACAATAACACATTATCCAAAAGCATTAAAACTTCAAATATTAATGAACAATTAAAGCAATGGCAGCATATAATGTATGAAATCCCTTTTAATTTTAATATGTAAAAAAAAAAACTAAAAAATTACCTTACAATGAGCCTAAAATGGTAAAAAATTAAGTTCATGTTCTCCATGATTTGCCGGTCCATTCATAGATGAAGATGAAGATACAAATACAAATACATGAAGATGGTGAAGATGAAAACATATGCAAAATGATTTCCTAAATTGAACGAGAAGAGATTGCCTCTAGCCTCTAGGATTTGTTTCCATCATCTATGATCAACAGAAAATGGAAAGAAACAACCTCATATATCGTTGTTACCTTTAGGTTCTTCAGCAAACCAGAAGCCGAGCTGCCGAGGGAATGAGGGATTCCAAGGGAAATGAAAGGATTAGGGCTATTGAAGTCTCCTCCATATAGTTTGAGCTTGTGAAGGAAGAGAAGTTGGATTTGAATTGGAGGAGTTGTTTCTACGCTTTGGGGACGATGAGAAGGCAAGGGAAGTAGCTTTTGAGGTTGTGAATGGGACAGTTTGCATTGGCGACCATTGAAGGTTGGAGTAGTGGATGGGCTATTATATTCTGCACTTGTCCCCACCGCTGCATCGTTAAAATGTAAGGCGGCTGCGGCGGCCCGTTAGAGAGCACAGTCAAAACTCAAAACGACTGAACTCTACCACTAATATGGACTACATACAGAACTCGGCATTACAAGTGTTTTTTTTTTTTTTTTTTTAATATACTATTTACTCTACTAGTATTTAATTTTCACCCGCGCTATACACAAAAATACTTTTTGGTATAATATTTTAAGAATATTTGAATCGATATACAATTATATAAATTATAACTTCGAATATTATATAATGCAATTGAAGAATTAATTTGTATGACTGTATTTTCTGATGTTATCATTGTTGCAAATAATAGCCCAATTAATAGTTCATGTGTAGATATACGTATTCGGTGCTGAAACTTTAGAGATTTTATATATCAGTGTTTATGATTTGTATTAAGTGGAAAATTTATTCGTTGTCAAGCAACTCAATTATATAAATCATTTGCTATCCTAATTTATTTGTATGGAAGATATATTTTCAATGTAGATATATACTAATTTTGTCATCTTCGCATAAAAGGAAAATATAATATCACTGGTTGGAACTACACATTATTAAAAACCTCTTTGTAGATGACATTGGGAGCGTTATGTTGTGCATCCGTATGCACCATGCATACGGATGCAAAAATGGCGTCGTTTTGGCGTCTAACTTAAAAAAAAAAAAAAATCAGAATTGCATAACTACACATCCATAATTTCATAACTATACATCCAGAATTGCATAACTACACTTCAACAATTGCATAACTACACTTCCAGAATTGCATAACTACACTTCCAGAATTTCATAACTAAAAAATCCAAAATGAATGAACTAAAAATGAATAACATAATGTTGTTGCTAGGAATCAAAGCTGATTTTTTTTTTTAAGTAGAGCGCGCGTTTTATGCAAAACGACGTAGTTTTTGCATCCGTATGCACCATGCAGGGTGCATACGGATGCACAGCATAATTTGCCATGACATTGATAGTAGCAACATATTCTTGTCCGTCTAGAGCTAACACCTTCCGGCCATCAGAATGAATGATTCGGGAAAAAGCCAAATACAATTGACCATTACCCATTGCATTACTATTTTCTCCGGAAAATCAATAAGCTATGATCCATATGTATCCCATATAATACATATACTATAGTTAATCCTTTTTCTTTTTGAAATAGTTAATCGGGGATTAGTTAGAATTTTGAGTCTAATAATAATATTCGTTTCCTTATTCAATTGTCCTAATTTATGTGCCATTTTTAATCATAGTCAATTACTTTTTTAATATTTCTAATCAATTATTAATAATAGATTATTATTTTAATTTACCTATACTGTTGTTAATCCGTTTCATTTTTGAAATAATTAATCGGGATCATTTTTAATTTTCAATCAATTATTACTATTCATTTCTTTTTTTAATTGTATATAATTAACATAGTTATGCAATAACGTAGTAACAATCTTCTCTGTGCAATGTATTCTCAAAATAATTTGCCCGTTACACGACTATTTTCTCAGGAAATCAATAAGTTCAAATTCATATGTATCCCATAATATATATATATATATATATATATATATATATATATATATATATATATATATATATATATATATATATATTAGTTAATCCATTTCCGGTTCAAAATTATTAATCGGGGATCATTTTTAATTTTCAGCCAATTATTAATATTCATTTTTTTTTTCAATTTGCATAATTTATGTGCCATTTTTTTTATCACAGTCAATTATTATTTTGTTACTACATATTATTTAATTAATTATTAATAATAGATAATAGATTATTTTTTAAATATTTTCAGTCAATTATTAATAACATATTCATTTTTCCAATTTACATATACTATTATTTGAGCGGTTGACTATTTCTTTTTTTCATTTCGGTTAATTTGGGATCATTTTTTTAGTCAATTATTAATATTCACTTCATTTTTCAATTAGCCTAATTTCCGTGCAATTTTTATTCTCAACCAATTTTTCTTTTTAAATACATATCAATTAGTCAATTAGTTAATTATTAATAACAGATTCTTTTACAAAAAAAAATCCGGTAAATTATTAATAACAAAATACTTTACCAATTTACATATACTATTGTTTGGGCGGTCATCAGTCTGGCCATTTTTTTTTTTTTTTTTTTTTTTTTTTTTTGCATTTGAGTCCGTTTGGAATCATTATTAACTTTCAGTCAATTATTAATATTCATTTTCTATTTCAATTGACCTAAATTCCGTGCCGTTTTTATTCTCAATTAATAATTACTTTTTGTAATATTCTTTTTTTTTTTTAACTATAATTTCACATCTGAATGTGGTGTATTGGTGTGAATAAACAAATACAATAAATGCATATTCAAAGTAATGTAAAACTATGCAATCTTACAATGAATTTAAACAAAATACACAAATTTAAAATTATAAATATAAAATATAACAAAAATATTGGAATGACCAGTAACAAATGCTTGTAAAATGTCAACCATTAATCATATGAACCATGTTTAATGCCCAAAGGCATAAATGACTAGGCTCTCAATAGGAAAACATTTTATTAATAATTTCAATCGAGCTTCTCAACATTCACAACTCTTAACAGATACACCAACATTTGCATCACATTGCTTGAATTCATCAAAGAAATCATCATCTTCTTTGTCACAAATATGCCTAAGAAAAACTGCATCCTTGAATTCACTCACAACTGTGTTAAAATAGAACTTCAAAAAATTACCAATCACCAAAAACCTCTTTATTATACAAAAAAACTCGACCTTCTTTAAATCTCTTTGAATACTTTTGAACATAATCTTTTAGGAATATGTGCATGAAAAAAAGTTCCCTGAAATTGAAGTGTTACAAAAAATATAGTAAAAAATCATATCCATAAACAAAACATTTTGAATTAAAAAATATTCAAATGATAGTACAAAAAATACAATGCCCCTTCATCATGAAATATGCACTCTATAGACTTCACTGTTTCAGCATCTCTTCTCTCTAAATCTCATAGGTACGCACCACTCTAACCTTTATTGTATTCCCCTGTTCTTAGGAGAAATTTCACGCGCAACAATGTCGATTGTGTAATGTTTTCCTGTTATATCATTGTTATAACATTAGGCCGGATAAGTTATGATAATATTAAGTATTTGATATGTGGTGCAACACTAATAACCTGATAGCTAGACTATCATTATGATTGGGAGTCTAGTTAGGGTTTATTAGACCTAAATACATACAACCACAATGATGGCTAGTGGTTATATAAGGTCACTAGTCCTCTCACTGGTCACATTACATACCTCATACACCATCTAGAGAGAGCTGAGTAGAAGTGAGATACAAAACTCTGCAGCAGTCCGGATCGCTCAATACAAGAACTAATGGCTGGAGATTAGTATGATCCTTGTAACACCCCCGATTTTACGTAGTAAACAAAACAATTTAAGCTCAAGGATAAAGATTAAACTAGCATTAAGTAGTAAAAGATCGGAGAAACTAACAGTCAACCGGGGAATGCTATGCCACATCTAACTAAGCTATTAGATGCACGTGTTAAAAAGTCAAAGTACTTTAATCCCAAACCTCCAACATCAAAATCACAAGTTTAAAGTTTAGGCACACAGGCCGTAAGGACTATGCTAAGAGATAAAAGAGGCTACACTAACTACGTCTTCATCCAGCGCGCTCGAAAGAGAACTTATCTGTACCTGTAAAACATAAGGGGTAGCACCCATTAGAGAATAATGCTAAGTAACCCACTAGCGTTGAGTACTTTATAATATAAATATAAGAAAAACATTTGAGACTTGGAATATATTAATATAAACTTAACAACTCTAGCTTTAAAACAAGGAGTAGAGACGACACAAGATTCATCAAGGAACACACTCAATCGACCGAACATCATACGGTTACTCAAGAGATCAATGTGAATGACAAGGACAACAAAATAATCAACATGATACGATACTCAATATCAATCAAGAGGCAACAACAATACATACTCATAAGCAAATGAAAGTCAAGGATCGCAATCAATGACAAGTTCCAACCTTATGCCCGGTTCCAACTTTATATCACAATTCCATCCTTATTTCAGTTCCAACTTGTACCTGCAAGTGCCACCCTGTACACCAGTTCCAACCTTATTCCTCCGGAGCCATTGCTCCTCGCCTACTTCCGCCAGCTTGCCGCTGATCTCATAGACATACGCAATGTCATTAATAATATAATACATATCACGTGATAGTATACTGCCAATCAATTGAGCAAAACTCATTATCACCAATCGCATCACATAGTCATCGACATAGATAATTGAGGCTCAACAATAGCCCAATCAAGGAACAAATCAATAGAGTATAACATTTGTACAAGCTTCAACAAGATATTCAATCGAAATACTTCAAGGAGAGACATGGAAGGAGCATTCAATACAATGGCACAATAACAATAGACTTCAATATGAAGATTACAATGATTGGTAAACTCAAGTTACCAATCTTCATTGAGAACTAATGAACAAGCACATACTAGTACCAACAACATCGTAACTAGCATGCAAATCAATAGGATAAACATAACGGTTCAAACGAACATCAAAGACCTCATATTAATCCAACGAATCACAAAGATAGACCTTAAACATGATTCAAGACTCATAATTAAATCTTATCGTGGATACTTAGGACATCGTTCTAGACGTACGAAACATCAAAGAAGACACACAATTGCACAAGGGTTCAATAAAACGGAGACCAAAGCATCACATACCAGTGGGCGGAACGATGGGGGGTCAACCACCCACCATGCCCCCCGCCAGTACCAGCGGGTGGAACCACGGGTGGCCAACCACCCGTGGCCCTCCTTGTTGCGTTAAGAGATATAAAAGTAAAAACAAAACAAAGCAAAGCTACGACATCTTCTCCACTACTCTTTGTTGTCTTTGCATCTTGTCAATTAATCACTTACATGCAAGAAGAACCTTAAGAGAACATGCATGAAA